AGCGCTTCGACATGGTCAACGCCGGAACACGACGGACGCACGTCGGCAGTACGCGACATGGCGACCGCTCGGCTCACCCCACGTTCGCCGACCCGATGGAAGTCGACAGATTCGAGGGGCGGCCACGTCCGAAAAATACCAACTACACGTGTGATTTTTGCGGGGTGCCGGGCCACCGAATCTTCGACTGCAACAAAATGAAGGCCGCACGCGCAGAGTATCGGGCACGCAACAGTGGCGGAAATCTTCCGGCCAATCAGAAGACAAAAAACGGGAGTCGCCAGTGATTGCGGATCTAGCTGGCGAAAATAAAAAGATCCGGAAACGGCCGCGGGATTCCGAGAAAATCAACTTCGACGAAGCTGATTCGACGCGAGCAGGAGGAAATGATGGGGGAAAATCTCCACCCCACGACCAGTCTTCGCCAGGGAAAATCGCCGAGGAAAATTACGACTCCGCGAAAAAAGACTCTGCCGAGACGGGGAAACTCCTTGAAGACCCAAGAAATTATAAGAATTCGTTAAAGTTATCTTATAAAGATGCTTTAATGAAAACTTATGATGTTCGAGGGGCTAGAGCCTTGGAGAAAATTCGGGAGGGACTCCAAAAGAAGCAGACAGCTGTGGAGATTATACCGGTACCGGACAACTTGGGGACCAAATTAAGGAGTGTGGAAAGAAGCCGACCTTTCCACGGAGTCAACGTCCTCTCCCGACACCAGCCCACAACGACTACCCGCTCCCCAGGGAAGACGTCGGTGGAGCTGAAGCAGCTCAAGAGGAAGCTGGGGGTCTACAAGAAGCTGCACAAACCCCGAACTCCTTCTACGGATGCATCCAGTTCTTCGGCATCAGTGACGCGCACAGTCGTCAAGGAAACTCCGGGCCCTGGAGAAGAGCCGTTCTCCAAGCAGCCTCGGCCAGCTGCCAGCTCAGGAGTAGACAACAACACCAAGGTGTGTACGGAATATTGGGATGTACCCTATGACCCAATCAATGAAACTATCTTTGGGTACTCCGAGCAACGACTGCCCCTCGTGCTCGAGGTCATCTGCAAAGGACGACGCCTCCAAGCACTCGTGGACAGCGGAGCGTCACACACCGTCTGCGACAAGGCAATGATCGACCGACTCCGGGAAGAGTACAAGCCTTCAGGATTCTCTGCAACGATGGTGGACGGCAGCAAGTTACCAGTACACGGCGAAGCAGTGCTACATCTACAAATCGGACCACTGCGCTGGAGACCTGCACTCCCCATCACCAACATCAAAGGGCTTGACTTGATCTTCGGGCGAGACTTCCTGAAAAGATTCAACCCCGAGATCAACTGGGTAAACCGCACCGCAAGCATCTACAACAATGGACGGAGAGTACAGCTACCCAACTGGGACGACACTGGAGATATCCCAGTGGAGACACTCGCACGATTCGAGAAGGACGTGAAGCGGACCGACACCGGGTTCCTGGCGATAGCAACAGAGGTGGAGAATGACGGAGAGGAAGCCTCGGAAACTCCAGGAAAAATCAAGGAATTGCTGAAGGAGTTCCAAGACATTCTTCCTGACGACCTACCGAACGAGCTACCGCCATACCGCACACATCAACATGAGATCGTGGAGGAACCAGGTTCGAAGCCGACCTTCCGAGCACCATACCGGCTCAGCCCTACGGAGCTGACCGACATGAAGAAGCAGATCGAGTATCTCCTAGCCAAAGGACTCATCCGACCATCTACTTCGCCATACGGTGCCCCAGTACTCTTCACACCGAAACCGGACGGAAGCCTGCGCATGTGCATCGACTACCGAGCTCTTAACAAGCAGACCATCAAGAATAAATATCCGATACCGCGAATCGATGACCTGCTTGACCAGCTTCGGGGAGCTACGGTATTTTCCAAACTGGATCTGCGGTCCGGATACTGGCAGATACGGATGGCGGACAACTCTATCCACAAAACTGCTTTTCGAACTCGGTACGGATCGTACGAGTATTTGGTCATGCCGTTCGGACTCACCAACGCACCGGCAACATTCCAAGCCGAAATGACCCACATTCTACGACCAATTTTGGACGAATGCGTGGTGGTGTACCTGGACGACATACTCATCTACTCGCGCGACATGAAGCAGCACGTCGAACACCTGCGACGCGTCTTCGAAATTCTTCGACGAGAACGATTTTACGTCAAACTGTCCAAAAGCGAATTCGCCCTGGAGAAGGTCCAATTTCTAGGCCACTTGGTGAGCGCTCAAGGAGTTCACGTCGACCCCAAGAAAATCGAAGCCGTACGTACGTGGAAGACACCCGAGAACGTGAAGGAGTTGCAGCAGTTCCTAGGCTTCGCTAATTACTACAACAGGTTCGTGCCACAGTATGCGAAACTCACGGCACCACTCACAAATCTGCTGAAGAAGAACACGCCCTACAAATGGGAGACGAAGCACCAGAAAGCCGTGGAGCAGCTGAAACAAGCACTAACGTCCGCACCGGTGCTCATCTTGCCAGATCCCGAACGCGACTACGTAATCGAAGCTGACGCCAGCGACCAGGCAGTGGGAGCAGTCTTAATGCAAGACCAGGGGAATGGACTGCAACCAATTGCCTACCTCAGCAAGAAACTGCACGGGGCAGAACTCAACTACCCGATACACGACAAAGAGGCTCTTGCTATCATCATCGCCTTCAAAGCGTGGAGATGCTATCTCGAAGGACGAAGAACGACCGTCTACACCGACCACTGCAGCCTGAAATATTTGAAGACACAACCCAACCTTTCCAGGCGGCAGGTCCGGTGGATCGACTTCCTCGAGACACACTTCCACTACGACATCGTGTACAAGCCCGGCCACAAGAACAAAGCAGACGCTCTCAGCCGGCCTGCACACGTTGCCGCGATTCAGATCGAAGGGATGAATCCACTACTCAAGGGACTCTTCACCCACGGGTACGCCATCGACCCCGAAATTCCCTTGGCAGAAAAGCAACATCTGCTACAGTGGGACAGTGCCATCGCGTACCGGAAGGGATCCACAAAAATCTGGGTACCCAATTACCCTCCTTTGCGCCAGTTACTACTCGAAGAATACCACGACGTCCTGTACGCCGGACACTTCGGTAGCAACAAGACGCTCACCGGTATCGCCAAACACTACTACTGGCCCCATATGGCAGACGACGTCCAGAAATTCGTCACCTCGTGTGATACATGTCAGCGGATGAAGAGCAGCAAGCAGAAAAAGGCGGGACTACTGCAGCCTCTTCCTGTCCCAGAACAACCATGGCAAGTGGTTAGCCTAGACTTCATCACCGGGTTACCACCTACCTCCAGCAGTCATGACGCCATCCTTGTCGTCATTGACAAGTTCTCCAAAATGGGACACTTCATCCCGACACACACGACGGCACGCACCGAGGAGACAGCACAGCTCTTCGTTCGTCACATCATCTCACAGCATGGCATCCCAACTACACTCATCTCCGACCGAGACCCCAAGTTCACTAGCAAGTTCTGGAAGGAACTTATGTCTCTGCTCGGCACCAAACTCGCCATGTCATCCGCATACCATCCGCAGACAGACGGACAGACCGAGCGCCTCAACCAAATTGTTGAGCAACTCCTCCGAGCAGCCTGCAAGGACGACATCTCCAAATGGGACTTGCACCTGCCCGTACTCGAGTTTGCTTACAACAATGCCACACATGCCGCTACTGGACAGACGCCGTTCTTCCTCTGCTACGGACGCCACCCACTCACACCACAAAAACCGACAGCATCACCTACAGTCCAACCCGCACATGATTTCATTACCACCATGCATCAACTTTGGGATCGGACCCATAAGCGCCTCCTTGACATTCAACAGCAACAGAAGCGCCAGGCCGATCGCCATCGCAACGACCACACCATTTCCGTGGGAGACCAGGTTCTCCTTGACACCCGCAACCTGGACATCAGCCATCTCCCATCTAAATTGCGACCTCGCTTCTGCGGGCCTTTTCTCGTTGAAGCACAGGTCACTCCTGTTACCTTCCGCTTACGCCTGCCAGCTACCTGGAGGATTCACAACGCCTTCCACGTCCAACTTCTGAAGCCCTATCGGGACCCGAACACAATTTTCGTCGGACGCCAGCCGCCGCCGCCGCCGCCCGTCCTCGTCCAGAACGAACCCGAGTACGAGGTCGAATCCGTGCTTGCACATCGTCGTCGTCGAAATGGCACCATGGAGCTTCTCATCCGTTGGAAGGGTTATGATCCTTCTGAGGACAGCTGGGTCTCTGAGTCCGACATGGGTAACGCCCGTCGTCCTCTGCATGACTACCTTGTCAAGCAGGGTGTTACTTCTACCACCCAGCTTTGAGGGGGGGAAGTGTGAGAGTACGACTCCGTTACACCACTTGGCCTTTTCCATATTTCATCTTCATTTCATTCCTCTTTTTATCTCACCTCCTTTTGCCTCATATTCCCCATTTTCCATTATCCTTTGGTTTCTTCCTTTATTATTATTATATCACCGACCAGGCATGGAATGTTCTAGACACGCTATCTAGCGTAATCCTGCTGTAATCCCTTAAAGCCAATAGCCTCGCGTGGCTATACGCAGGGTGATTCTATCTTCTAGAAGGGTCTATTCCCTTAGGATAAGATAAACCTGGTTACCTGATGTATTCTGGAAGTATAAAAGCGCCTTGTACCGATCGATAGTGCAACCTTTCCTCGACACATTCGATCCTGTGACAGCCCCACTGCTGCTGCTGCTGCAGCAGCTGCAGCTGCTGGAAGCGGCGAAACTGCTGCAGCTCCTGGGGAGTTATGGGGTCAGCGACAGAGGAGGAGGAGGAGGAGGAGGAGAGCTGAAGATGAGAGGGGAGGAAAGACGGAAGAGTTTTGACATCCTGGAGAGAGGGGCGGGGATCCATGGCAGACCAGCGTGGGGGTGTGCCAGTGTTGCCGCGCTCGAACCAGGCGTCATCATACGCCTTGAAGCAGGTCGCGGGGGGATGGTTGGTTTGGGTGCAGCGCTCACCCGCCCTGGGACCAAAACGGCGAAGATAGGAACATGGGGGGAGAGTGCCAGGGCGGCCACCACGGCTACCAGATGAGCCACTACTGCCTCCACCACCACCACTGCTGCCACCCTCGACCCCGCCACCACCGCCGCCGGCTCCGCTGCCCCCACAACCGCCACCTCCACCCCCTCCCTGAGGGTTGGTGCGGCCGCCACGTGGGCGCCCGCCACGACGCGGCTGTGTGACTGCAAGCTGGGGGTTTTGGGACTCGGTGGAGTTCAGGCCGGAGGGGGGGGTTGAGAGAAGGTGGGCCTCAGCGTCAATGATCCATTGGACCACAGTGTCAAGGGAGGCGCGGGGCTGAGCCTCAGTGAAGGCGATGACGCGCACTTCATATTGAGGGGAGAGGCCTTCGAGGAGACGGTAGATCTGAAGGTTGGGGGGGAGAGTAGTCTGGCGAGCCTCAAGGCGGGAGGCAAGGTCCAGGAGACGGCTGGTGTAGTCAACGGCGCCAGCACTATGTTCGATCGTGATGCTGAAGTATTCCTTGAAGAGCGGTCCGACAGCATCGAAGTCGGTGCGTTCGAACATTGCCTCAAGCTCGAGCCAGATCTGGCGGGAGCCGATGCGACGTGCCTGGAAGTTGCGCATGAGCGCAGACGGGATGGCAAGGAGAAGGGCACCAGTAGCACGGCTGTCCGCCTCGAGCCAGGCGCGACGACGCTCAGCAAATCGCGCAGAGTCAGCGGCATAAGCGGCGGCGGTAGCGGCATGCTGGGTGCGGAGGGTTGCCGACCGCTCGTGTTCCTCCAACGCGATCAGGTAATCAGTATGGAGCACGAGGAACTCACGACGCTGAGTAAGGAAGAGCTGCTCAACTTCAGCGGTGGCAGCGCGAGTGCTGGTGCCAACGGGTACCATGGGGGGCGGAGGTTCCTCGCCAGGATGGGGAATGAGAGGGGGGGGATCGCCAGGGTGAGGCAGCGGGTCCCCAAGGTCACCCTCTGGGAGACCAAGCATGATGTCCAGGAGGCGGAACGGCAGGACATAAGCACTGCCGAGGACGCGGTGGAGGCTGCCGACGAAGGAATACCAGTTGGTTGCTGAGTTGTCGGCAGCGCGCACGAGATGATCGAGGGTCGAGACGTCGACGGGAGGGGGAAAGGATGCCATTGGTGACACGGAGTGGGAGGAAGGCGACGGCGGGTGGACCCGCGGTGGCCGGGAGGGAGCGGCGGCGGGTGGACCCGCGGCGGCTCAAAGAGGAGGGGAGGATGGGGATGGCTGTAGATGCTGCTGCTGCTGCTGCTGCTGCTGCTGCTGCTCCTTCTGCTGCTGCTGTTGCTGCTGCTGTTGCTGTGGCTGCTGCTGCCGCTGCTGCTGCTGCCACTGCTGCTGCTGCCGCTGTTGCTGCTGCTGCTGCTGCTGCTCCTTCAGCTGCTGCTGCTGCTGCTGCTACTGCTGCTGCTGCTGTTGCTGAGTCTGCTCCTCCTTCTGGTGCTGCTGCTGCTTCTGCTGCTGCTGCTACGGCTGCACCAGTGGTAAGGCGGCGATGAGCAGGTGCAGGTGAGGAGGCAAAAGATGGGGAAAGATGGCAGTTAGCTGATGAAAATAGGACTTGGTAGAAATTTCAGAAGCACTTCGTGATCACATCCAGGAAAGTGTGCAAACTTCGGAAAGCGATATCTGACAATCCAAGCGATGAAACAGTTCGAAACTTTACGACGTTGTTGCTGACTCCAAGAGCGTTCTTTTGCAAGTCGAATCACTCAATTCCGTCAACTATCGAGCGAGCTATGGCGTTTGGCGCATTGGGGGTTTTTGAAAATCCACCCAACAGAAAACTAGTTGAGAGGCGGCGGCTAGGAGTCTAGCAGCGGCGATGGAGGGGACGGCAATGAGGTGCACGTCGGAAGGGGACGGGGCGGAAGCGTGGGGAAGGATCGGGATTTAAAAGTTGGCGTGAGCCATTATTGCTCTATACCATGTTAGAAACAGAAAGGTTCAGTTTATTGATGAAGCAAAGGCATTACATAGGAAGAGAGGGATGAGCTAGGAAGGGAAGGTTGGAAGGGAAAGGGGGGTTAGGACCAATCACAAGGGAGGGAGGATCCTTCCAAATGTGGTTGACCACCAGTTGGAGGTGGTCCAAGTGTGGTGTACCACCAGTGGTTTAGCCAACCCACTTGTGGTGCCCCCACAATTGTGGTCCTTGTGTTTGGGGGCTCCAACCACAATTGGGTTGGATTGACACCCCAACACAGGTGTACACCCAACTAGGGATGTAAACACAATATACACAACTAGCATAGCATGGTATATTCTAACACATCCTAGCGCTGACCTGTGAGGTGACGGTGGAGATCGGACAGCCAAGTGGCGAAGTCAACCGCGTGGCTCTCAGCGTCCAGGCGAAGGACGAAGTCGTTCATCGTGCAGGGTCAGCGATACAGGGACACAACGGCACAGCTCCACAGGACACAGCAGCACAGGGACACAGTAGCACAGCTCCAGGGGGACGTCTGCAGGACGCTCCAGCGCGGGAAAGCAGAAGACACGAGGCCGGAGACCCGAGGAACCGTGCCGAGTAGAAGACACGGAGCCGTAGGAGCCGGGCAGGCACTGGGAGCTGCGGGCCGCAGGAGCCGGGCGGGCGTATCGGGGCCAGGCAGGCGCTGGGTGGGGCCGGGCGGGCGGTGTGGGACGAGCGGGCGTAACATGCCGGGCGGGAGTAGAAGGGGCCGGGCGGGCGCTAGGAGGGGCCGGGCGGGCGCTAGCAGGGGTCGGGCGGGCGCTGTGGAGGGGCCGGGCGGGCGGTAGAGGGGGCCGGGCGGGCGCTAGGAGGGGCCGACTAGGAGCGGGCGCGAACGGCCAGGGGGCCGGCTAGGAGTGGGCGCGACGGCCAGGGGGGCACCTAGGAGCGGGCGCGAATGGCCAGAGGGCCGGCTAGGGGCGGACGCAACGGCCAGGGGGCCAGCTAGGGGCGGGCGTGACGTCGGGTATTTTCCGGGTGGGAATTCTTCAAGTTCTGGCTGGAGCGGTAGCTGGGGTCCCGAGTACCTACTGAGCTGTGCGATGGTTTAAATGCCAGCATGGTCAGTCGGTGAAACTGCAGAGAATGCGTTTTTCGGAGCTGAAAATTGTACCCAAGTTTTTCTGGGGTACCTGCCGTAGCCGCGCGATGGGTGAACGTTTGCACGGCGAACTGGTCAAGTGGAGTTGAGAAAAATTCTACATAGGGTAACAACGCGAAGCAGATCGACGGCATTCGGTGCAGCAGAAATATTTTCTATGGCGTCGGATGGAGCTAGATTCTACGTGGCGCAGCTATCCCTGCGTTATAGGGTCGCGCTGAGACTGGTCCCAACGAGCAGAATTTGAAGATACTTCAGTTTTTTTGGGTCTGAATAAACTTGATGCAGGGTATTTTCGGCATCGACGACAGAATATTTTCTTTTCATGGAGGGGGGAGAGAGCAGCTGCGCAGCAGTTGTTTTTTTTATTTACCCTCGACAGTTTGATATCCGCTGCATGAGCATCGACGGCCAGATGCTGTTTGACCAACTGAATTGATGGACAGATTCGAGTTGGCATTTCGGGAATTTCGCAGGAGTTTGCGAAAGTTGACGGCGCGTTTACATTGACCGCCTGAAGCGACATCAACTACAGTTACTGGACTGATTGTGTTTTCGTACATGTGCTGATGGACTTCGCTGAGTTTCGTGAGACACGGACGCGTGTTCTCGCATGTGTCGCGAACGACCTCGCAATTGACGAAGAGCTGGAGATCGTTGACTTTGCGAAATACGGACGCGTGTTTCTGCGAGTGTCACGACTCACGAGGAATTAAACGGGGAGCTATCTACAATTACGGGGCTATGGACAAGTTTGGCGCTATGCAGAAGATTCGGCTCGCCAACTTGCAGCAGTGTGAATAACGTGGTGTTACTGTGCGGATACAGTACACGACGACGGGGTTTGTAATTCTCGGCGAAGGACTCGCTGGAGACAAAGAAGCTGTGGTGCGGTAGTATCCCAACTGCCCATTTGGTTATCTGGGTAATTCGATCAAGGTTCGACGGCTACGATCGACGGCGATCATTTCGACGTGTTTCGACCGTTGGATGGAGTTTCCTTGAAGAAGCTCAACATTCTCAACAGTGGTGGCTTCACTACTATGAGATTCAGTTAGAGTGTGTGCAGTTTTGTTAATTTGTGTGCTTATCTAGAAGGGGGGAGAGTGCAAGGAATGCATAATTCCTTACTGAGGCTTGCTACAGGGCGTACGACTCGAACAGTCCCGAACCAGCGATTGGGTTCCGAACCTTTCAGTTCGAGCCTCCTGGGCCTTTCTGGACCTCGCTACGACACATCGGGGCCCTTCGATACTTTTCCCGAACCTTCCGATCCTACGTCCAGGATCGCCCTAGGCTTTCCATATATTGTATTGTCTTTCATTTTATTGTCATTCACTCGTTCACAGTTTCGCCATTGCCCTCCGCGCTACTCGGCAGTCCCATTCATAACACTGTGCGACTCGATAACCGTTTCTTCAACTGTATTCTACAAGTGCTCTATTTTCTATTTTCTATATATTGTTGTATGCTTGTTTCTTTTAATCAAACACTTGCTCTCACATCAGGGCCTCAGATTGCAGGCTTTTTACCCTGATTCAAGGTAAACTCAGGGTTTTTTTCAAGGGTGACCCTGATCAGACAGGGTTTTTTTTTAACACGGGCCTGAAATTTCAGCGTTTTTTTAGAAGTGAACCCTGATCGATCAGCGTGACTAGTGTAGTGAGGCCTGTTTTTCCAGCATCCTATTGGGGACCGACCCTGATACTACGTGTAATAGCGGATTCCGAGCCCCAACCCCCCACCCGTTATTTCTGAATTTCCCCCCCACCCTCCCTGTCACTCACGCCAACTTGACTGTGACCGACCAAGACTGTAATCAGAAACCTGTGACAAATACTGGGCATGTATTCAGGAACAGGCCCCTAGATTGGTTTTTAGGAGCCCTGATCGCTGAGGATTCCCCCTGAGTTTTTCTCTGAATTTTCAGGGTTGGTCCCAAAAAAATTCCTCGCGAATTAGGACTCGTACGGTATTTTTTTTTTTTTCCTGAGCAGACAGAGTTACTTATGGAGTCTTTCCTGATTTCTTAGAGGTACTTAGCGCATGCTGTAGTAGCGAATTCATCCTTGTAGGGTGAATCGGGTCAGGTGGGCGAGATTGCAGGGGCCGAGGGAAATTTCGCCCATACAAAGCTCTAAGGCACACATCGGGCCCAAAATTTGGCTAAGGGCCAAGGGCCCTCCCTCACACTGCCCCCACGCGTCGAGCCACGAATTTGGGGAAGGGCCAATAAGCGCCCTCACAGAGCCCGGAGGGCGGGCCAGAACCTCAGAAATCAATGCTAGCCCCCAGGTCACGCATTGACAGAAACGGGTACAGTTTCGTTGCAAAGCTGAAATTTCAGGATTCATTAAGAAGACTTTGCTTAGCAATCAGAGTTTACCCCCCAAAAAAGGCTGAAGAAACAGGAAATGCCTTTAAAAAAATCGTGGACAATCAGAGCTGGTACCAGCAACAACTCTTTTTTTTTCCTGAATGAGGAAAAATTTCCTGCAATCTAGGGGCCTGTTCAGGAACTCGACAGCAAAATAGCAGGGGGGTTATCAAGTTGGGACCCGTCTTGATCAGCACCCCTTGTGTGTCGAGGTGCCTTTTTTTTATTCGGAGCTGGCCAGCAGCCCGCACTGTTTGATACTCAGAACAAACCCAGGTGGCATATTTGACGCGACACTGTACCGTACGAATTTCGTTTCGAGTCGCGCGTTGTGGGCTGCACGATGTGGCACGCGATTTTGCCACGTCAAAACGGGCCCCACTTGGTCATCAAGTGGGGCCCCACTTGATTTTCGCCCGGGGAATGCACGAAAAAACAGGAATAGCAGAGGGGGGGGCCTCTTGAACTTCCTTGAACCCCCCCTGCAGAAAAAGCCGAGGCCCACGTGGCCTGCGACAAATGTCACAGAGGGGCTGCACGATGCACTAGGCTGTCTATATTTTTTCGCCTCGAGCCCACATTGGCTAATACTCTCGCGCAACCAATAGGATTTGTGCAATCATATTTTGTTCTCGGACAATTACGAATTTCGGGGAACTGGGACGTTTCGTTTTTTCGCCAGGTTTTGGGACTTTTTTTCACCCACTCAACAATCAAGAGAGGGACCCCCCTCTGCTATTTTGCTGTCGGGTTTTAAGCAGCGTGTTTCCTGTATTTGACCCTGTTTATTTAGCGCAATTTCTATACAACACCCTGATTGATCAGCATTGTTTTTTTTTCAAGGCCTGAAAAAATAGGGAGCTACGAAGGGGGGACCCTGAGCGATCAGCGTGCCCCAAAACGAATATATGAGACCTTGTCTCACATACTAGTAGTGCAAGGGTTCAACTACTCAACACTTCCGCTGCACTACTCAAGTATCTTGTACAAGTGGGACCATGCCCCTAGATATCAGCCTTTTTACGCTGATTCAGCCTTTTTTCAGCCCTTTTTCTTGAACCTACGCTGAACTGTATGACTTTTTTAGATGGGTAAGGCTGACAAATTCAGCTTTTTGTTTATAGTGATGTCTGGTGATTTCAGCGTTTTT